TAAGCCAAAGGTGATGCATGCCAACAGGACATTTCAATTGGAACGAAGTGAACAACAGAACAAATGACGCTGCTGAAGACGTGTAACATGAAAAAGCCACTGTCGAAGAAGAAACTCTACTCGGTTTTGAGAACGGGAAACAGTGAAGCCCTTAATGAAATTACTACCACTGATGCGACTGTTACCGATAATATGACATTTCCTGATGGAGCAGATGAACCCCACGCGAAGCAGGAGCCAACGAGACGGAGACTAGTACGGAAGAAGATACGTCCCGAAAAATTAAGAGACTTTGTTGAATTTTAATTTTGTGTTTGCAAATTCTGTACATTTAATCAAGTTATTGTTAATTATCTATCGGTTTAATGTAAGTGGCTATTGTTCGGGACGAACCATACTAAGAAAGGGGCAGTGTTACGACAACGGAAGTCAAGTGACGCTGGTAACACGTGATAAGTTTCTAGAAGGATCATGAAGGCTCGAGTGTTTGCCAGACGCCGTCTAGTTTAGTATACAAGCCGGCAGATAAATTGATAATGGAGATAATCGAGTCAAACCTTAAGTAAAGTGTGCAAATCGTTGTGAATTATATCGTGTGTTGAAGTTAAAGTGACTGTGGAAATTCTGTGTATTGCAAAGTTGTATTGAAAAATAATAACTAGTTTTATTTAAGAAAGAACTTGTGTCCCTGAAGTTCCCCGGGAAATTAACAAACGACCAGAGACGTAACAATATTTTTATATTTTCTTTTTGTTTTCAAGCAATTATAAAATCAGTCTTAGTTTTATCACAATTTACATGTCTTATATACACTTACTAATAATCAAAATCATGGGTATTTTTATCTTTACATATAAACAAACTACTAATTAGAAAATGTTAAGCAAACGACTGAATAAATCAACTAAATAATGAGCAAGTAGATTTTAAAAATAAACTTGGTCTTGTAGTATTTATTCCATAGTTTTTTTTAACAAACTGATAAAAAAAAGTATACTTTTATCAATTTATAATTTTTGTAAATATAATTCTGCATAATAAACTACTTGTAGTGCCCTCTACATAGGATTGACCTAAATTTTGTCATAATAAGCCCTAAAGCTTACCCCAGGGTCATCAAGAAAGTTGCGTGTTCGTGGGGTTTCTGTTACATTTTCTTTTAGCGAACAGTATTTTTAAACTATAGTGTTCCTTTGCAAATATATTTTATAAGCTTAAAATATGTTTTCTGGATATTAAAGGTGTTTACTAATCTGTGTATAATAACATATTCTCCCATAAGGCTTCTTTATTACAAGAAATAATAATGAAAATTTCTTGTAAGAAAACAACTAATTTTTAAAAAGAAACATACTACATTTTTGCATTACACTTCATTAGGTTTTATTTGAACACCTAGCCTGCAAGTCAATGGGACCATATTTTGGAGATTGGGTGTACTACAGAGGTGTGTCACGATTTCCGGTATTCAAGTTGCAGCCATAAAATAAAAGTATTCCAAAAAAGGGCTCAATTTATTAACCTCAAAAAACCACATTATACTGCCAAATAAACTAACCTCTCAACAGTGTTCAGTCATAAAGGTGCAGAATTTAAAAGTTAGCCAGACTGCTTTCCTCTTGCACAAAATAGTAGAAGTGTTCATGTTCAGGTGGGTACAGCACTTAGCCACCTTACCAATGGCAAGTAAGCTTTGTCGAGCCTTCCTTGGTCACCTGTATCAACAGAACTTGTGAAAACTTTGGGGAAAACAGCTTAAAAGAGCTAAAGAACCAGATATTATAATGCCCAACATGTGCTGCATTCAAATAATAAAAAAAGAAGAGTACTGGAAAGCTTTGGGAATCAACCCTCAAAATATGTCTCCCTCACTGAGCCATCAGTGATTTTCACAATAAGAATAATACTTCTTTTCATCTAACAGATTTCATTTGCATAACCATAAATTTTCTCTACCCTAACACTAACTGTTGTCAATGTAGAGAAAAAATGAAAAATATGAAAAAAAAAAGACTGCAGATTGTACCAGACAATTACAATTATTTATCATTACAGCTTCCAGTATTCACATCTGCTTGCTTTTAACTGTATTACTTTACAATGTCCTTTAGACCTTAATTAGGTATAAAGTTACAATCACATGATACATTTAGTTTGAACTGGTTTTGTTTTCACTTACCTTTGTTATCTAACCCAGTAAGTTTCTAATTTTTACATCTGAGTTACTTTTGTTAAAAAAAATACATAAAAAAACAAGAAATTTTATACTTATTTTAGAATTAAAACCTATAGCAGTAATTTGTACTCAATACATACTTACTTAGCACTATGTTATTCCTTTCAAATTGACATTTTAAAATAATCAGGCACTAAAATAGAATGCCCCAAAACTACTTTAACTGGTTTTCTAGCTAAAGTATTAAGTGATTAAAAAATTCCATTAGCTGCTCAAAGCAGAAAAATTTGACTGCAAACAATGAAACTGAGGTTGAATATCTACTTACAAACTCCAAAACAAAGTAACAGTATAAGGAATTTTGTAAAGAAAAAGCAGCTCTTTTTAAAAGTTGTAAATAATTCAATAGCAATGTCAGAGAGAAGGATTACTTTGTTTTTGAATGAATGAATGTCACGGGGGCTTGACATTTTTTATCTTGGTAAAACAAGAATGTTGGAAGTATATATATTCTGGTTTGTCAATATCTACAATGTGTGTTTCTAATTAGTTGAACATTAGAAAATCATATAAAAATTTAAAAAATATATAAAAAAAAACAATTTGGAGATCAGACATGTCACATGACACGGAGAAATGATGATGGAGATTTTTTTAAGTATTCTGAAATTAATATATTAACACTAATCTAATATTAAAAAGTAAATAATAAATCATGTTTTGATATCAAATTTATTGACATACAATGATAATAAAGTTGTTTAATTAAATTTTGAATGTAGTTCTGTAAAAGATCATAACCTGCACTTTGACCCTACAATGCACAAAGGGTTATAAGAAGTCCCATCAGTTAATAAATTTTTTGATATTTCTGCAAAGTATACAAAGTTAGAAATTTTACTGAACATGAGACAGAGAATGATAATGTTAAAAACTTTCAACATTTAATAGTTTCATTTTGAATTTATTTATTGAATATAAGTAATATTTATTACGAGTTACAGCTTTTTACATTAAGGAAAAATATTTTTAAAACAGATACAATGTTTCAATGACTGGTGTGATCAAGTTTTGTGTATTTGAGAATGATCACACTAGTGATCAAAACATCGTACCAATTTAAAAAAATATTCTTCCTTACTATAAAAGCTGAAACTTGTAATCAATTTCAACATTTTAACTATGAATTACAAATTACTAGTTTAAACAGTATCAATAAATG